ATCCCTATATGGGATCCGAACCCGGGGCCTTGGTGTTATCAGCACCGCACTCTCCCGAGTGAGCCACTGGGCTGGCCCTAAAACTCACATTATTTTAAGCTTAAATATCTTATTTATACCTAAAACAATTTATTATAATTTTATTTTCTTGACTTTAATAGAGACAAAAATCATCAATAATATTTTCAAAATCTGCTGCTGGGAAAAATAATCATTAAAAATTTTCATAAAGACATGTATATAGGGGCACACATTTTTTCTGGGGGCCAGAGTGGGCATGGGAGAGGAGAAGAGTAAGGCTGGGGGACCCATGAGGCAGAGGCTTATGTCCTTGTTACCCAGCAGAGCCAGGGTCTGCAAAGGAAGGGGTTGGGGTCGTGTGGTTATCATACACGTGCAACGTCCCCACCAAGCCTGGACTGCAGAGAAGTGTTGCATAGGCTGAGCTTGCAGGACCCGTGGCCACTTGGAAGAGATTTCCAGGAGGCAGACAGATACTTGGGGCTGGGCAGAAAGTAGAGGGTAGGAGGCAACCTCAATGTCCAGGCAGAAGGTGCAGCTGTGAGCCAGTGGAGGGCCGGAGGGGGGAGAGGGAGGACACCCTGGCCTGAGCACAGGAGAAACACTGGATGGGTTAGGGAGCCCAGGACTCATGAGGGCAACCACATTGGTGCTGCTCAGAGGCCTGAGGGGAGAATGGTGCTCAGGCTGATGGTGCAGGATCCCTTATGGGTGATCTTGGGCCTGGCTGAGCCGGGGCTGTTTATCTCTTCTAAGAACCCTATCCCTAGGCAGTTTACTGGAGGGAGGTGGGGCAGGGGGTACTGACAGAGGGATTTAGCAGGCAGAGCCAAGGCAGAGAACAGGAAGCCTCGAGGAGCTGGAGGTGTTAGGCTTGAGAAGGAGGAAGCGGTTAGGAGAGGTAGACTAATGGGGCTTTCTGCTTAGCCACCTTGTCTTAGAAGATAGATAATGAGCTCCCCAGCCTTCCTGGGCAAGGGACAGAGAAGAGTCCAAACACCACACAGGGGCTAGATCCTGCCCTCCAGGGCGTCTCCTCCCACACATGCTTCTGACCTCAGGGTCTGGGCTTCAGGACCGGGATGGTATTCCTGGATCCCGTGGGCTGGGGACGCTGCCTGGCCTCCAGCTGCCCTGTCCATAGCCAGCAAGTGTGAGAGGGGGAGGGCGCCTGAAGCCTCCTGAGCCCAACTCACCACACCAGTGTAATTATACCCTAAGGAGCAAGATCAGTGGGTGCCCGGTACCTGATTCATAGTCCAGGGCAGAGGATCAGAGAGAGCTGGCCCAGAATCAGCACAGTGGCCACACCCCAGTCTTGTAGATGGGAACGTTTACTGTGGACACCTTCAGCTACCACCATCCCTGTCTGACCCACAACCTCAAGATTCCCCTGAGGCCTCCATGGCCTTTAGCTCTGGCTCTGGTGGGACTAACCTGGCCCTGCCACCGATCAGAGATTAGACAAGCCTAGTGGACTTTTAATGCCGCTGACGTCAGGGCCTGGCTGGGTGGCCACTGGGGGTGTGGGCCCTCCCCATGAGCAGTAGCACAACCCATGTGACCTGGGCTCATTAAGCTGCTTCAGTGGCCAGAGAAGCTGGGGGCCAGATCTCAGAGGAGAGAGAGCGGGCATGCCAAGGCTGCGGGAGCAGGCCTTGGCTAAGAGGTCACCAGCTCTGGGGGCCCAGGCCAGGGAAGGGCTAGATAGGAGGATCGCCTATGGGTCCCCTCCATACCCGCTGTGTTGTGACACTAAACCACTGTGCATGCCTAAAGAGGAGCCTCCCAGGCACCAAACTGAACAGAATGTAGTCAGGGACACCAACCCCGGCGGGCATGGAGGTGGGAACCACCCCCTCCTATGTGGCCTTCAAAGCCCCCAGCATGACTCCAGAACATGTGTCCTGCCCCCCGCACACAGCCCTGCACTTGGCAGTGCTATCCCGCACTCATACTCATATCTCTTTGGCCAAGCTCTTTCCTCCATGCAGAGTGCCTTTTTGCTTCCCCACACTGGCATATGTCTTCTTTCCCCTTGGCAGAGCCAAGCTCACAGGCTGCTTCTCCATCAAGCATTCCTTGATTCATGCACTCTGACCTGGCAGGAGCTTTCCCATCTAGACCACCAGAGATTGTGCTTGGAGACACTGAGGCTGGGACTTTTTAGGGGACAGGGGGCTAGCAAGAGCAGCTGCAGTAAGCATTGGGATAGCTGGCTTTTCCCAGAAACTCAGGCAGGGTTCTCAGAGGTGATCTCCTATTTGCCTGCCAAACGACAAGTAGGAGTTTGCCAAGGAGGTGGGACAGGGTGGGGAACCTCGGACCCTGGGAAGCACAAGGGCAGAAGCACAGGAGCATGAATGCTGGCATGTTATGCAAACAGCAGGAACGTGTGCATGTCCAGCCGGACAGTGGGGGAGGTGGAGGTGGAGAGGCCAACTGGGAGGAGGTTGGGGGGATATGAGGGAGGCCAGCTTAGTGTGAGGGCAGGGGCCTGCAGGGTGTCCGAGGCGTCAGTGGATACAGATGCCGGGCTCTGGGAAGGACTGGGTTGGAGGCGAAGAGGGTTTCAGGGCACTGTGTGGATTGAGTGCCAGTGGAGGGAGTGGCCTGGTGAGAAGAGGCTGCTGAGCTGGAGGCAGAGAGTTCATGACTAGAGAGGGAGGAGGAGACCAAAGGGCTGCTGGGACCCTCCAAGGAAGGTCTGAGCAATCCTGGGACCCTAAGTTCTGCCCCACATGCTTGGCAGTCTCTTGGTCCTGTGTTTAAGTTTACAGAAATGAGGGAGTGGAGGTGGAGGCCAGGCTGAAGCCTGAGATGAAGCTTCCCCACCTTTTACCCCAGGTGGCTGCTCCCAACACTGTGGTTGCAAGGATGGGCATTCTCACCAGCCTCTGAGAGAAGACACCAGGCAGCTCTCAGAGCCCCATTCCAGCTGTCCAACTGTCGGGCCACCACAGGCTGGGCTGAGAGATTCGGCAGGTGGTAGGGAAAGGCCTCTGAGCTGTGTTTGCCCTGGCCAGGGCCCAGGCCTAGCAACAACAATCAGCCCCTCCCCCAGCCTGGCCACAACTGGCCTGTCCCAGGGACCCCACATCATACCTGCCTCTGGGCCTCACATAGCAGCTCGGCCCAGCCAGCCTGTGGCTGGATTGAGGACCCCAACACCCACATGTTGGGTGACTTTGAGTCACTCCTAGCCAGGAACTGCCAATGGGAGCCACCAACACTTTGCAAATGGCTCCTGAGAGCATCCAGGATGTCTCCAGGTGGGAGGTGAGGGGCAGACCTGAGACCTAGTCAGCACCTCTCCTACCTAGCTCTGTCCTGTGGTGGAGCCATGCCTTTTCAGGGGATGGGAGTCTAATGGCCCCTCATGATCAAGGTGAACTCTGACCTGGGGATTACACCAGCTCCAGATCAGGAGGGAAAGCCAGTCCCTTCCTATTTTCCACCCACCAGTGAGGCAGGAGCTCTGGTGGTTTGAGGTTTTGGGGGGTTGCCACCATCCCAATGCCTTTCTCCTTAGCCCTCCCAGCTCCCTGGCACTCACAGTCAGAGCTGAGCCACCTGCTCCGGGCTCACAGCTTCCCCTTCACCCACTCCCCTCAGATCAGGGGAAAAGAAAGAGCCATTTCCTTATGACACAGAGGGAAACTGAGGTACGCTAGGGCTTGGCTGTGGGGGTGCTGTGAGTCAGCAGGAAGTGACTCCAGGAGTCCTGACTCCCAGCCCAGGGCAGCGGAGGGGTTAGGCCCGTCCTCTGAGGGCATTCCCCCCAGCATCGGGAAGCGGGGCAGACATGACACAGCTTGGACAGGAACAGCAGAGGCCATGGGATTAATCAGATCAGCGCCAGTGGCTGAGAAGCAAGGGGCAAAGCTGCTCTGGGAAAACCCCCCAGTTCACCCCAAAGGTCAATGCTTCCCCCAGCTCCCTGATGGCTGGACCTGGAGACTCAACATCCACTGCTCACCTCTGAGCACAAAGGTGCTAGGTGGGAAGCAGGCAAGGGTGGGATAGGAGCCTCCAGCCAAGAGCAGGGCTACCCTAAAACCCCTTACCCCAGGGCACCAAGTCCCAGCTCCCACTTGCCACAGAGAGGCTGACAGCTGTCTCCTACACCTTAGAAATAAGGAAATGGGGGCCATGGCAGGGAAGCCCCCGGCAAGGCTCAGAGCAAGCCAAGCCTTGCTCCCCTCTCCTGTCCTCACTGCCACTGACCCTGTCTGTTCCAGCCACAGTCTCCTCTGAATGTCTGCAGTGAAGACAGAATTGATGCAGGAAACCCTCCCATCCCCACCCCTTCCCACCACTGGTTGGGAAGGGTGAGGCAGGTAGAAAAGGCATTCTGTTGCTTGAGTGATGTCTGAAAGTCCTCTATTCAAAGCAACCTTCACTGAGGTTAAGCATTGCCCTGTTCCCACTCCTCTTAGCTGAAGATCCCCTTCTGGCTTCACGGAAGTGAGAGCAGAGCATTTTAGAGGTTAAGGTGGTACCTAGAGACCTTGGACAATCTGCTTTGGACTGGAACATTCCCCCCACAAGAGTCAACGGAGCCCCTCCTGCAGAAGCTGTTCTACCTAGGGGCTCCCCAGCGCTCCAGCTGCCCCTTTGCTCCCGGCCTGCCCCAGCCCCCGCTCCTCCCCGGACCAGCCCCTCCTCCCGCGGGCAGCCAGGGATTGGCGGGCCGGGGGCGGGCTGAGGGCGGGGCCGGGCGCACTTCATCCCCCGCAGCGGCTGTCGCCTTCGCAGCCCTACGCTCAGCCGGGAGCAGAGCAGACGGCACCGGCCCAAGCGAAGCGCCGCGCGTGCCCACCCGCGAAGCCAGGTACCGTTGGCGGCGTCGACCTACCAGCCCAGGGGCACTGGGCGGGCCGAACCCTACTGTCCCCCCTCCAGTCCGTAGCCGGGCTCTGGGCAGCTCCACTCGCCCGCCGCGACCCCGGCAGGCGCCCCAGCCTCCGGCGAGCCAGAGCCTCGCGCGCTCCAGGCGCAGGTCTGGGGGCCTGCCAGTTGGGACCCAGCTCCGAGCTTGTGCCGGATCCCGGGAGGGGAACTTTGTCGCCTCGGGGCCTCTATGCACGGCCGGGCGGGACAGCAGGAGGTCGGCGGCACACGGGGTTGGGGCCACAGTACGCCTTGTTGGGGGCTCAGGCGGCACCCGACAGGCTTCCAGAGGCAGGGCCCGCGGGGGCGGTCTGGAGAGGGTCCGGAAAGAGGACCCAACAGGGGCCCGGAGCAGTCACTGGAGCGCTGCCCCGACGGGCGCCTGACAGGCAGAGCGGCCCGGCTGGCACGCCGGGAATCCGGGTATATTTATCCCGGCTGCGTTGGGCAGGGGCTTGAGGGCAGATCGGGCCGGGCCGCCTGAGGGGCAGCGGGATACATGCTGGCCCCAGAGCCAGTGCCATTTGCAGCGGAGCCAGCGGGCACGGCGGGCAAAGGGCAGGCGTGGCTCCCTGGCCTGAGGGCGGGGCGCTGTGTGCGCTCCTCCTCACCTGGCGCCCGGGCAGGGGGTGTAAGAGCCAGCACCGCGCACGGGAGGAGGGTAGGACGCAAGACTTGGTTTGCAAGAGCCCGCCCCCACCCGATTGGCCGCTTCCATTGGTCACAGCAAATGGCGTGCGTTTGTTTACACCCGGGGAGAGGGAGGCACGGGTGGGGCCGGTGGGGATCTGCCGTTTCCCTCCCACAGTGACCTGAGCCCTGAGCCCAGGAATGGGCTCCCAAACAGGTCTGAGGAGGGCTAAATCAAAGGCCCTTGTGCCCTAGGGAAAACCGTGGAGGACACCCGCACCCATGTGCATCCTTCCTTCAGCCTGTCCCTCCTTCCATGACTGCCTCAGGCCTCTGTGCTGCCCCTGCAAGAGGCCCTTGAGCCTTCTGCCCCTCTTCTTCAGTACACGGTCTGGGATGGGGGTTCAGTTTCTTCTGAAAAGGAAGCAAATCTCTGGGGGCTCTTAGTCTGGGGCATAGAAAGCTAGAGAGATCCAGAGACAGTTCCATTTTGAAGTGGGGAGGTTTGGCACAGCCACGGAAGCCTTCCCGCAGGAAGCTCCACTGGTTGGAGGGATCAGGAGTGAATGGCTGAAATCAGAAATGAGAATCTTTGACTTCTTGGGATTGGGGGCAGAAGGCTGCATCTCTGGGGAGGGGAGGGATGTATGTCTCAGAATTTCCTTCTGCCTGGGCCCATGGAGCTCATATCCTCACTGGCCTCTCGAGACACTCTTTGTTGAGTGTTAGTTCTTTTGACCCATATCACAAACTGTCACTGCCCCAGTCCAGGCTTTCTGGTGGCCAGACCATGACAGTTGGTTGCTCCTGTCCTTGTGCCACTGCTCTAGCAAGTAGCTTTGGAGCCCTGGGCAAATGGAAAAACTGAGGCACAATGAGCAGGCTGGTTGGTTCATGATCTCTAGGCTGGGTCAGGGGAGGATTTTAATCTGAATGGAGTGTACCCTGGAAGTCTAAGCCAGGTGTGGAGACAGGCACCCAGTTTGAAGGGAAAACATTTGGAGGGGAAGGGAGATGGTTGGCTCCCAGGGAGGTGCGGTTTTGGCGTCTGTGTGCACAGAAAGCTGGGGTGGGATGTGCGGTCTATGCCATAGTAGGATGGGGTCCCTGTGGAAGGATGTTCTAGTGCAGACACAGCCAGGAGCTAGGCCTCACTTGTAGCGGGTAAAATGGGCTGAAGGCTTGAACCTATCCCATTCTTTAAACATTCACTGAGCACCTACTCTGTGCCATGTGCACACTCAGTCTTATGAGTGCAGGGTGGGCCTTTGACTCTGCATGGGACGACAGACACAGAAGGGCAGGGTGGGGCTCTGGAGGACCAGGTGGGGCTTCTTGGGGCCAAAGGCAAGGATCAACTGCTGGGACAGGAGGGGCTTTCCAGCCAGTGGCCTGGGAGACTTGGTTTTGAATTTCTGCTCTGTGGGCCATGTCCTGTACATAGTCTCCCAGCTGGCACATCTGTGCATGTGAGTGGCTGCTGAGAATGGGGGTCATTCCAACTCATCATCATCTCTGCATGTCTTTTCCATTGTTTGGCTAGACAAGCCCTGAGTCTCTGAGCTTCCCAGCAGAGTCTGGCCTTGTGGCCCTAGGGGGCTCAGCCCCACCCTCTAAATGTCACTACACCTGGCTGGTGGGAGCATAACATCTCCTTGAGAGGATGTGGAGATGCAGTTGTGGCTTTCTTGTGGGTTCTTTCAGGGTTCTGTCGGGCAATGCCTGCAGTACCCACTGAGTCTGTTTCCCCTCACCTGGGCCTTCTGGCTCCTTCTCCCCTTCTTGAGCCATCCAGGGCTCTTTGTCTTTCGTTGGCCGACCCTTGCTGTTTCATTGTCTGTCTCCTCCATCTGCCTCTCTCTGACGGCTTGGTAATATCTCTGAGTTCCTTACCTCTCTGGTTGTCTCTGTTTCTCTCTGTCTCCCTGTCTGAATGTTTACCCACCTATCTACACGTGATTTTTGTCTTTCTCTGTGTTTTCCTCAGTCTCTGTCCCTCTCTTATCCATCTGCATTTTTCTGCCTCCCTGGACCTCTCTATCTGTCTCTCTGTATGGGTCAGGGGATGCCTGTATTTAATGCATGTGTGTTTTCTCTCCCTGCTCTCTCCCTGTCTAGCTCTCTTCCCTCCCTCCGACACTCTCTGCTTCTTCCTGAGGTTGGATGTCACCCCTCCTCCAGGCTGACTTTGCCTTTAGCCCCCCATTGGGGTCTCCAGTGAATCCTGAACTGCCCAAAGCCTGTGCTCCAGCTTTCTTTGGGGCCAGAAGTCCGGCTGTCCAAATATTTGGCCGCCTCCAGGGGATTCCGGGTCAGCAGGGAGGAGGATGGGCTGGCTGGCTCAGGGTCTCCCCTGCCCCTGGGGGGCCACAGTCACATGATGTCCTGTCCTGTGCCTCAGCTGGGCCTCAGGCTGCACGTCCCTCTCAGCAGGCTGGCAATAGGAGGGAGGGGGCTGCCGCTGGCTCTGGCCCAGTCTTGAGCCAAGAAGTTCTGGCTGCAACCTTGCTGTGGGCAAGTGCAAGCAAGGAGGGTCCGGGGCTGGCAGGAGGGGAGGCCTGGGTGGCTGGAGCTAGGCCCAACTATAAGCATCTGTTGGGTGTCTAGAAAAGCACCCTGTCACAGGAAAGTCTGCCTTCTGGCCCCAGCTGGCTGTCTCTTATTATCCTAGACACCTCCAGCTTCCCAGAACATAGAGGACAGACCCCAGATCCCGGGACCAATGAGCTGAGAGGTGACCGATTGGTGTGGCCAGTATATCAATGCTCTGGGCCAGCTGCTTTTCTCTGTATGTGCCCCCTTCTGCATATCACCCCCTCAGTCCATACACTAACCACTTGCATCGTTGTGTTGTGTTGCTGACAATGTGGGAATGGCAGATGGGGGACTGGGATCCACTGGAGTAGAACTCTGGAGTTGTAGGCCTGGGAGAGGGGAAAGGGGTGTTTCTTCCCTGTTCTAATACTCCACCAATCCCCGTGGCTGTGCTTTGAGAACATACAATTCAAATATGTCAGTTGCATCTGGGGGCTGGCTGGTTAGCTCAGTTGGTTAGAGAATGGTGTTGATAACACCAAAGTCCAGGTTTTGACCCCTGTAATGGCCAGCCACCAAAAAAAAAAAAAAAATTGCATCTGCCTTCCCTTCTTACTAATGGCTTGTCCTAGAAGGGGATGTCTTCTCTCTGAGACCTGGAGAAGCAGGTGGACAGAGGGGTAGCTGTCCAGATGAGTGCCAGTCTGGGAGAGGCCCCTGCCTCAGCCAACGAGGGGAGTGGTAAGAATGTGCTGAGTTGGGGGCCGGCCCAGTGGCGCACTGGAGAGTGTGCCGCTTGGGAGTGCGGCGGCGCTCCCGCCGAGGGTTCGGATCCCATGTGGAGACCGGTTCCCGCTCACTGGCTGAGTGCGGTGGGGGCGCGACACCGAGGGTTGCGATCCCGTTGCCGGTCCCTGGTATGGGCGCAACACCGAGGGTTGTGATCCCGTTACCGGTCAGTAAAAAAGACAAAAAGGAAAAAAAAAAAAGAATGTGCTGAGTTGGAACTGGGGGAAGTCCTTACCCTTGAACCCCCAAGGATAATCACAATGGACCCTCAAGCCAGTCCTGCTGCCTCTCCCCTTAGATATGGGCTGAGATCAGGAAGTCTGGGCCATAGTAATAAGCTCCATGGGGTCTGTGTCCCCATTCATGCATGGGACCACAGAACCAAGAGAAGGACAGTGTGGATGCCTCCCCGTAGCCAGCCCACTACTGAAGAGCCACTTATGTCCCAGAGCACTGGGAGGAAAGCAGGCTTAGAGCCCTGGGGACTCCAAGGACCTTGATCCCTGGACAGAGAGGTATGTTTCCTGTAGCGGCTGACGCAAGCAGCTGCCCCACGGTGGCCTGGATTCCTGGGCCTCAAAATCTTTAATTAGCCAAACTCAACACCTGCCGAGATGTGCCTGCCGAATTCTCACTCCGTGATGCCCGCGTGGGTGGGCGTTACCTGCTGCACCGTCCCTGCGGTTCCTGGCCCCTCCTAGCCCTATCTCCCAGCAGAGCAAACAGGTCCCAGGGCAGCGACCTGGTCCATCCATTTACTGTCCGGGCTCACACTGAAAAATGCCATTCTGATGACCTGCCCAAGGTCACAGTGATCTTCTTGCCCAGTGCCTGACCCCTCTCTGGGCATCCATGGCCTGCCATAGGGGCGAAGACCTCAGGGAGGCTCCTTACTCTGTCCCCACCTTGGCCAAGCCTCACGGGACCCCTAAAGGACAGGGGGACACTGAGGTCCTGAGCGGGGAGTACTCTGCCCCAGCCACACAGTAAGGCAGGACCAGGCTGGGCCTTAGAGTGTCTACTCCAGGCTTTCACTACAGTGGGTCAGATTCTGCTGGCAGCTTTCCTTTTCAGGGGCTCTCCCTGAGTTTACCCCGACTCCTGATACAAAGCAGTCTTTGCTGGCTGGTTGGCTCAGTTGGTTAGAGCTCAGCATTCTGACACCAAGGTCAAGGGTTCGGATACCCATATCAGCTAATCACCACCCCCATCCTCACCCCCCCCCCCCCCCAAAAAAA